TAATTTATTATCAAACTTAAAGGTTAGAACATTATCTGTGTTCTTCATTTGTTTTTTACAGTTTCTTAAGTTTTAAGTAAGTAATGAAAGAAGTTATGAATGTATAAAATATCAAATTTCAAAATGCTTATTATTCTCTTAAAAATTAAAATATTGTTAATACCTACAAGAAAATATAGATTATTTTTTGTTATATGCTTTTACCTTTAAGTTTGATCTTAAATAAATTCACTCTAATTCTAAATTCTAACAACACAAATTTGGTTTAACTAAATGTAAATTTAGTATGTTGTACATTAATATGATGGAGGCAACACATGTGAGTATGATGTAATCTTAAATTATTTTGTTGTATTCAGAATATAACTATTAAAATTAATTTGAATACTAAATAACTTTTATTGTAAATTGCATTGATTCTTTAATATTATTAATTTATTATACTATAAAATATTATATAGGAATTATCAAGAACACATTGTACAGATATAAATGTTTGAAAATATTTTATATAATTTTATCAACATATTATTTAATTTGTATGTTGGTTTATCTCTGTGTTTTATATATATTACACCATTCCTCATTTTTATTCAATTGCATTGATACATTTCAAAATATATTTTTAGTTATTATTAAAAACTTGTATAACTAATAAAATAATACAAAATTATGTTCAATTAAATTGAAAATTAAAAATTACCTTAAAATAATAAATTAAATTTCATTGTTATTTGTTTGGTGTATAATTTTACATTATTATATGTAATATCAATACTAATAAAACCTAACTTAACTTATTTTAATTGATTATAAAAAGTTTTTATGAGTACATGAGCCAGCAATATATATTTTTTTAGTGTAGAAGGGTATAATAAGCATAATATGCCAATTGATAATTTAAAAAAATAGTAACAATAATTTCAACGAATTTGGAATAAAAATTCTCTAGGAAGATCCCACAAAAAATTCACTGGAATAGAATATATTATCCATGCATCAATTTTCAATGAAAGTGATTTATTAAATATTTTCAAAAATGTTAACAACATTATTAATATTTTATAAGGTTAATAATAATCAAAACTTAAAAACCAACTAATAAAAAATTATTAAATTAAAAACTAAAGTATATGTTATCTATCTCTATCAAAGTATATGTTTAAAGTAATTTTTGAATAAAATTGAATTTATCTTTCCCTTCCTAATAAATTTTGTTTTATATGCGTGTAGTTAATGTATTAGCATTTATTAACTTTATTTTATTCTTTAAAGCATACAAGTTTATCATCAAGTGTGAATGAAAAGACACAAAGTTTACCTGACCTCATGCCATTACGACTATTATGGTTAAAACAAAAGAAAAGTCATTATGACTATCTAGTCAATTCTACACAATCTGAAGGAGGAAATGGTAATATTTTAAAAACTTTTATTGAATAATTATAAGAAATTTTTTTATTCATTAATTTATAGAAGGTAGAGCTAAGTTATACGATGTATCTGGTATTAAAGATCAAACAGATAGTGCTAAATTCAGCCTTGTCAAAATGTTTATTAGTCAAAAGAAAAACCGCCAGTCAGACGGTAGCTTAGTAATTAGTGATAATGATGCTACTGCTGAGGCAACTGAACCCAGTAAAAATGATTTGGAAGATAGTCTAATGTGTGAGAATGAAAAAACTGAAAGCATCAAACGTGTAAGTAACAATAATGGGTCCAACAATTCATCTATTATACCTAGCAAGCATTTATGGAAGGGTTCTAGTTTAAATAAGAGTATGCAAACTTCGTCATTAGATGAAATAAGCAGTCCAAAACCAGAAATCAAGGTATGCACAGATTTTAAATAAATATTATTATTTATTTTTATTTTGTTTTTATTTTGTTTTAGTCTCAGAATAGTCCTGTTTATGTGATGTTTCCTAGTTATACATTACCAGATCTCTCATTCCTGCAAAATCCTAAAGCTGCATTAGATATAAACAATGTATTTCTTGTACCTCAAAAATTTTCACCCATGCCATCTCCTGAAGTTGAATGCAAAAAACTTAATACTACACCTGTACATGAACCATCATCAGCAGAAAATTCATTTGATTTAAAATCAATCTGTGCTAAAGGATTTGACCATGTTAGTGATTGGGATTCACTGGCTTTGCTATTACCGCGGAATGTGTCTATAGCTTTATCCAAGACTCCTGAACTTAAAGATCGTTTCAAACACATTGATTTTGATATTAAAGAACCATCATTTTGCCAAATTGCATTTAAACCTGTTGACAAAAAAGATAACATGTTTGTTTATCAATATGATGATTTGAGTCAACATCAAAAACCACCAGTAGGTCGAGTTAATTCAAAGATTCCCATTAAAAATGAACAGAAAAGACCTATACATGAAGTGCCAAAAAGGTAAATTTCCATACAACATATTGTTAATTTATGTATCGTGTACCTAAATTTAATAATAGCTTAGTAAAAACTAAAAATAATTTTTTTATAGATTTAGTATGTTTGACATGAAGTCAGAAACATTTCAAGAACAACAAAACAAGAGACGTTCTCTTCCATCGCAGTTGACCATAATTCCTAACATTACTCCTATTGTAAGTAATATCATACAGTTTATAATTAAAGTTCAATTTTTAGATACTAAGCAAAGCAATAAATGTATTGATTTTAAAATATTTACATAATTGTATATAACATACAGCATTATTTTGCTTTTTCAAATTTTGCAAATGCTTATTATTTAATATTAAATTATATATTATGTAAATAATTATTAGTTATTTATGCATTAATATCAGATGAATAATGTACATAAGAATTTTTAGTAAAAATATTAATTCTATTTTGGTCCAATTTAAAAAATATTTTATTCTAAAATATGAAAAATAAATTCTGATTTGTTTACTCTGTATTAAGGTTTTGTTTCAAGCAATGTACAAATATTTCTAATTACAAACAAAAATAACCAAAATACTTTTTAAGGTTGGTTCTGATGTTGGCACTTCTGAAGATGAAGGAGTTGAATGTTCAGGAAGTAACTGTGACAGTCCTAATCCATGTGTTGATGAAGCTAAACGATTAGACTCGTTGTTAAGACAAAATAAACAATCTCGTGGTTATTTAAAAGCACAAGTCAATAAATATTTAAACCGCGCCAGTGGTCATCATACTCCACCAAATTCACCAAATCAGATCACTATTCAAGTAATATTACCGTTCATACAATACAAAATTGAAATATTATATTTATTGTAACTTATAATTCTAATTAATTACTTAATGTATTTTATTTATTTTAGGCAAAGAAAGGAACTGATAATATAGATAGATTTGAAGGATGTGAAATAAATAAATTGACAGATTCTATAACACATAAAAAAGGTATATTTTATTAGAATAGTTTTTTTTTCTATAGTTTTATCTAATTAATGATTTATTATTGTTTCAGATCTAGTAAGAAATTGTTGTTTTGGCGCAGAAAAAATTACATTTTGTTTAGACAACGATTATACAGAAGATTTGCATACAATTGTCTTAGATGTTCTTTGTCCAGCTCTGTATGCATTGTTTAGTGAAAATCTTAAATCCGTTTTAGAAACATCTTTTGGCTCTGTTAATAACTCTGTATGGCAAGTGATAGAAGCTTCATCTCAACAAGGTTAGTTAATTTTTGTTTATTGATCTATAATTTAATTTCTCTAGAACCTTAGTATAGCATAATTAACTTATTTACATTTAAACTGATTGTTAATGGTTTAATAGTGGTCATTTAAAGCATTATAATATTAACATGAATAATGGTCATAGGTACTCGTATAACTGTAATGAGTTAGTCATTTCTCAACATTTTTGGAAAATTCAAAATATACAGGTTCTTAAAATGATAAAATATATATTATTAAAATGTTGAGAATAATGTTAGAATAAAATATAATTCTAGTAAAATTAAAATATATATTATGCAACTCAATTTTTCAATACTCTTCTATGCTTAGGAAATATATGGTCTTTCAATGGTTGGTGAAAATAAATTCTTTAAATAAAAAGATATCTTAGTATCAATGTTTGACCAATTAAATTGGTCTTACCTACATTAATGGTGATTGGAGAATGGAAATATTACTTTAAAAATTTCATAAACACACTTATTCTTAACAAAAATGTAATTTTGTCAATGTAATGTGTAATATCTTATTGTTTCAATACAATAATAAATTTGTTGGTATCCTTACGTTTTCATATTTCATTGTGTACTTGTGTACGTAATTTATTCCTAACCCGGATCACTAGAACACATTTGGTTTTCAAGACTTGATCCTTATCCCTTCTCCTATAATAATAAAACTGGCCGGGACAAATGGATGTATTCCTAGTCCATGATAGTATATAGCACATAATATGCAGTAAAATTATGAGTTCTAACTTCTATGGCATAATTTATACGTCATTGGTAAAAAGTGACAAAAATAAAATTGTTTCTACAATTATTTTGATATAATATAATATTTATAAATGACGAATAATTATTTGTGAATTGTTATTTTTCTGAGATAAGTAAGTAACTTGAAAATTTGAGACACATATCACACATGGGTAATTATTTGTATGTATGTCATAGCTAAAATATCAAACTGTTTATACCTTTTTTATTTGCTCTTCAACTTAATATACCTATTATATTATCATATTCGTTCTATTTGTTTATTAAGCTTACGTATAACTATTGTTATAGATTGATGCTACTATAGTGTTTTTACGAATAATAATAAAAATACTTAATACTTTAGAGTTTAGGTTATAATATTATAATTTATTTATTTTACAAAAACAAAACTACTTTTAAATGTATCTAAATATTTCATTCTGTAAATACCATTTAAAATTATGTAGGAATGCGGTTGTTGATGTTTATCTTAAAATAAGTATAATTAAAACCAAGTAAATAAATATAAAACAAAGATATATTTTTAATTAATACTCTGGGATAAATGTAAATTTAACTTTGTTTACTTGTTCGTGGCGTAGAACGACAAGTACCCAATTAAGTGTAACATAATATAAATAATACTCAAATAACTGTTCAGCATTCATGACACCTGTTCGCAGAATTACATAAAAATAATATAATATGATCTTAGAATCTATAATCGAATACAATTTATACATATTATTATTTTAATAATATTATATCATAATAGTTGCGCGTCTTAATTTTTCTCCGGACCTTCGGGAGTGTGACGCACGCCGTGATCTGTTGATAATTATATTAATACTGGTTAGTGATTGATTATTATGATGACCAATTCAATTAACCGCGATCCTTTCATTGGCGCTGAGGTGGAGGAAGAGCTGGTACCGGTGGCAAAGGACCACCAGAGACGACGGATACGCGGTGTTTCTTCTGATGCCTGACCAACTGGTATTGTTGGCAATACGACACCCGGCACTCGTCGCACGCGTACGGCTTGTCGGCGTCGTGAACGCGCTTGTGCGTGGCCAGGTTGCCCATCTGCGTGAACTGTCGGCCGCAGACGTCGCACGCGAACGGCGTGTGGCCGGAGTGGACACCGCGGACGTGGGTGCGCAAGTTACCCACCTGTGCGAACGACCTGCGACACACCGCGCACGTGTACGGCTTTTCGCCCGTGTGCACGCGCACGTGGTTCACCAGGTTGCTAACGTGTCGGAACCGTTTGCAGCACATTTGGCATTTGCGCTTGTCCAGCGCCAAGTGCTGGGCCATGAACCTCTTGGTCGGGAACATCCGCGCGCACTTGTCGCATTCCAAATCCCTAGCGTACTCCAAACTTTTCTCCCCGGTGACCGACGGTCGCCGTTCCGGTGATCGCTGCAAAAGTTTTTGTGGTTCGGGTTGTTGTGGCTGATTTTGGCGACACCACCGAATCTTCTGTTGTGCCCTGCGAATGACGAAACGTTCGTTTGATTTCCATCTCCGAATTAGTGGTGGTGATCAATGGTGGTTGGTGCAGGAATTTTTTCGTGGGAAAGGATCACGGTCCGTTAACACAGTGGGTGTTTTATGACCCCCGAATAATAAAAAAAATATATTGAAATTACTTAATAATAATAATGATTTATTCGTTATATTTTTAAACACTTACACAAGTGTTTTTTTCCTGGCTCTTAAGTTTTAAAAATAAAGTAACTAGACTTATTTAATTCATATTCCCGATAAGTTAATTCATAAGACGTTATATTTATAAAGTCAATAATTTTTGACTCTTTTCAACACATAAAAATATCTTTCCTCGTAAGAATATTAGAATTTTCATATTTTAAAATTGTTACTTGGTGTTTAATATTATTCTTATTTTCTATTTCTTTTGATTGGGATCAATAAATAAAAACCATAAAACTGTTACATCTTTAATACAACTAATCATAATTAAAATTCATATTGAGTACGGCGATGACCAACAAGTTAGACATTCGTTTTTTATAAGTATATTATTATTATTTTTTAAGGTTTTTATCGAATTCTAGTAATGAAATGTTTTAGATAGTTATAAAATATAAACAAATTAATAATAAGAATATTATAAATGTATCTTTTTATTCGGACACCTCTTTGCCCCCCTCCTTCTTAGCACGACTGATTGTATTGTATAATATAACATACTGTTTATGTTTTAATATTGTTCGTTGGCATTTAATTACTACAAAAATATAAAAAAATTAAAATTAAATACCGAAAAAAATGACTCAATATACTATTTTATTATCAAGAAACAACTTTGGTGTTTGAGTGGAAAACGTAAACCTACACAATGTATACACAAACCCAAAGATACGCCTTTGCATAAAATTGTTGACAAGCGAAGGCTAGTATAACACTATGGCATTACAAAATTGGTTGACACGCTTTTTTTAAGTGTAGTATTAGGGATTTTCTAATTCCTGATATATTTAAGATAGATGTGCAATTCGTACATTAAATTATTTGTTAACAAAAAAACTATAGATTTTTAATTTGTCGCCCTAGTGTTTTGGCCCCCTCGTGCTAATACAAAAATTATAGGTGTGCGTAGACTTGAATTTCAAGGGGGTGCATATAGTATTTTTAGGCTCTTTTATTAATTTTCTTCCTTGAATCTATCATCTATTTCTAAGATAGTTTTTATTTTGTGTAACATCTAGCAGTTATATCATAAGTTTTTCATGTACATTTTTGAATATTTTTAAATCTACCACATATTTTACGGAAAGAATATATCGTGTTTTAATAATATTAGCTTTAATACAAGCTATTTGCTCTAGGATTTAAATCTTATTGCCCTAATTATAAAATTTTGGGGAGTGTCGAGGCACACCCCTGTGCGCACACCTATGAGACAATCATTTATGTTACAAGAATCTGTTTGGTAGATATTATATTTTTAATATTATTATTAAGCTTATACTCTTTTATTATTAAAAATATTCTTAAATATTTTATAAAATTAAATTAAAAGCAGCACCACTGATATCAATATCTTGATCATGAATTTTCTAAAGATTTAATATATTCTAAAAATGTTGAAATCTAACAAATATAGAAGATCACGAAAGAAACATATTATTGCTTATTGCTAAATAAGTTATAAATCGTTAAATTAATTTTAAAATAATAATTTCGTTGTTAGTGTATCTACTGATATACTAGAATACTTACTGGCTGTTGGGCATCTTGATCTGTCGTGGTATTGATTTGGATTTCTTCAAATTACACTATCCTGAAAAGGTGGAATATTGACTCAGACGTCCCGTTTCGTCCGCTAGGCGAAACTCATATGACTATATGAGAGCTGAGCATATTTGGTTATTTATAATGGTCAGCGGACGGAGGATCACGCTCAGCTGTTTATCAGTAATTACAAATATATTAGACTTTGTCCGACAGAAACCGATTTATACTTAATCGTATTTATTATCACTAATTATAAATTATTATATCTACTGCATCGATTTATTTCTATTTTTGTCTTTATTCTGTTGATAATCATCGGGATGTTTTTAGATAATAATAATAATAATAATAAATAGATTATTGAGGATAGCGCTGCCTTTTGGTATAATAATGTTATTAATTTGTTACTTTTATTGTTTGATCGTCAAAAATGCTAAATTATTGTTCGTTATCGAAAATGAAGTGTAATACATTAGTAATTTGTCATCCGCCACTAAAGATTAAACAGTAGGTTAGGTTTTATTGGTTGTATCTTAATAGTTGATAGATCAATTTTATCCTGATCTTGATGTTTTTATTTACCTATCATTTATTTTCTACTATTTTGAATTCCCTTTTATTATCAAATAAAAAATAAAACTAATACTTGTTCTCATTTTCAACAGGAAATATAAACAAACATAATTTTCGAGTCAAGGTAGTACTAATATAACATTTAATATCGCTCAAAAAGTTGAAAGTAAAACTAGTATTAAACCATTAACTGTTACCTACTTCTTACCTGTACGATCCATAATCAATTATTTTAACTTAAAAATATAAATTGATACACCCATATAATAAACTATAAATGACACTTTTACCCGCATTTTGTTAATTCTTATTTTGATATTTATTTTGTTAATTTTAGTGAATCTGTGATATATAATATTCAATAATTAAATTTAGAATTATTTAGTGTAGACTATAAGCAATAGACATATAATGTGAAATATGAATTTTTTATTAAACTATTATTTGTGAATTTACGTTTTAACATTTTCATAAGTTGTTAATTGGGAATAAGTAATAACTGTTTAATAAATTTAAATTAATAATATAGAAAATACAACGTTGTCAATATTTATCATATTAATCAAAGCACAATCAATAATAATCGACAATAAAGATATGAGAAACTTTGTTTTAATTGTTTTAAGCAATTAATTATTATTTTTATGTTTACTATTAGTGTTATTAGTGTTGGAAACTATTACTGGATATATAATATATTTTATTTTTTAATATCTTACATAATATGGCTATATATATATGTACATAGGTATGTAAAACTTTTTTCAATTTATTATGTTTTAAATCGGTATTTTGTCATCAACTGCCATAATTTCTTTTTATTAGTTTTTATTAACTCATTGGGCGAGATAAAATAGGTATATACAGGTCCGGATTAACATTATCGTAGGCCCTAGATACAGATGGCTAAGAAACCTTCTCTTTGAGAGAGGAAGTGTTGAATTTCACTGTTAAGCTTTTTAAAACAAAAATATTTTTAACGTATGAATCAAATCTAAACTTTTATATCATAATAATTTTCTTGTATACATTATATTTTACTTATTGTGCTAATATGTGTATTAACTTATAATAATAATAAATAAAAAAATAAAAAAAAATATGACAAAAAATTTGTAGCCACAGATTTTCTTTCGTAGGCCCTAGAAACAGTGCCGAATGGCTAATATGGCCCTGGGTATATATAACAAAAAGAAATCGTTTTTTTCTTACTAAAATTCTAATTGACAAAAGTAATAAATCTTAAGTTTAGTAAGCAAAACCTATAATAGTTTTCCATATTACGTATGCATTACGTTAAATTTATTTAATATAAATTCAAGACTTTTATTATTAATTTCTGATGAAATAATACGAGTAGGCTGTCCTCGTTTCCAAAGCTTAATTAGATTCGTAACGTGCATGTGTATAGTGCCCGTATCAGATAATTTTTCATGTAAAAAGAATTAGTTATATAAAAATATTTTAGAATACTAATGAGAGATGTATAGTAACCCTCCCCCCTCAGAAAATTTGGAAATAGATTGATATTAGTTTATAATACATTTATAGTATTACAACTATGATTTGAAATTTAAATAATTTTAGGTTATCTGATTATAACGTATTCATTTATAAATTTATTATTTGTTTCAGGTGTTCTCTCTTCGGCGCTCAACGAATTAACGGCAAAGGTCAATAATGAACTGGCACTCAACGAGGGTGTAATGAAGTTCAATGCATTTATTTTCGGCCTGTTAAAGTGAGCATTGATAGAATCTGAAAATGAAACGTATTGTTGTAGAATAAATATCTTAATATTATAATATTTTCGTTTTAGTGTCGGGGGTTTGGACGCTTGGCTGAGCTATATGAGAACCCGCGAATCTGTATGGCAAAAATACTATAACCGAAATGCACTATTTGTCCGCGCCAATTTTGGATGCACTTTGCACAGGGATCTCGTGGATCGTTTGATTGCTTCCACCAGACCTTTGGCCAAGTACAGGCCCGCTTTCGATCCACTGTACGAATGTCGCAAGCTCCATGAAAGCCTATCCAACATAAACGTAAGTGTTTTCTGCCAATCAATTTTGTATAATTTGTGATTTTCATTTTATTGTGAACCATCAACGATATTTTGTTAAACCTATTTAGTTAATGTGATTTCGGTAATTTATCATAATTATTTATGAAATCATTTTAATTTTAGCGTTTTGTTCATACGGTTTTCAAACATATTATAACTAATTACTATTTAGGTAATCGTTATTGTTTTTTTTCTTAAAACTGATTTGAAATGATTCCACGCAACATGATTGTTGAGAAATAAGTTGAAACCAAATTTACTTAAAATCATTGTAAATAATATGAATATATTATTGTCAGACCACGATAAAAATAGAAAATATCACTGGCCATTGCATTACCTTCAATACATAAAAGTGTATATTATTGTTTCGTAAATGACAATCGTGTTTTTTGTTTCAAAATAAATACAGAACCGGACGTCGTGGTTACTTAAAAAAACCGCACGGACGTTGGAAAACGAAACTTCCAGGCCTAGGTCGTATGTTGATTCGGCCGCTAAAACGACAGTAGACGTGGCGGGTACGGCTAGCAAACGTTGGAGCGGCGTGCACATGGGCTCTAAGCTGGCCACGGCCTTCGAACGTCTGGATAATATTGACGAGAGGATCCAGTGAGTTTACATACTAAAATATAAAATATTATGTCATACTAAGAAAGTATAACATTTTAAGAAAAGATAAGTTTTAATTTTTATGTCAGAATCCCATTGTAAGTTGCGCGAATACACATTTTTAACACACAAATAAAAATAAGAAAACCTTAACTGTAAAACATAGTTATTTGTTTCTAAACAATTCAAATTTTAATATCTTTTAAACAACGGATTTTAAAACGATTTTCGACTTTTTTCTGTAGTCCTTAATACTGACTACACAATTCAGTGTTCACTGTCAGCACAACGACATGGTGAGAGGGAGAGAATCAATGATTTGAGTATTAGATGCTTAAAATTTTTCTCTCTTAGTGATTACTGCTAAATTATAGTGTATAGTGCTTTGTAAAAAGTATTGATTTCCTATACCTTGAAATGTTTTTTTCTGATCAGTCAATAATCCTCAAACCCTCTTTCGTTTCTTTTATATAATTCGGTTTGTATAATTTGTATTTTTGATGTGTTCGTAATAGACCAGAAGTGGCTGAGCCTTGTCACGGTAGCAGTGATGTCACCAAGGAGACCCCCGTGAAAGGACAGCGGTTCAGACGGCTTCAGATGAAATGGGAGCTGCTCAGCACCAAGGACCTGACGTTAGATACCCCTGATTTTGATGGACCTCGGGGCGAGTTGACGAGCGCTAGGTATTTATTTAGTAATATATTTTTAGTGTATACCAAAATATTTATTATGATTTAGATTATATTATATAGAAATATTAGTGATTTATTTGACGTGCTACAATGATGTTTGGGATTTTCGAAAAAAAAATCGCTTAATATTTTCTTAATGTTTGAATAGTATTAACTATCAACTTCGTTTTTGGAAAAATTATAGTTAAACTCAAACAAAAAATCTTATTGTTCAATATTTGAAATTCTTTTTTTTACATAAAAACGTAAGTAATATATTGTTTTTTTTCTTTGGCTAAGTGTAACATAGACAAAACGCAAAATCATTTTTTATATTTTTGAGAACCTATTCTAAGAGTAAAATCACCAATTACAAGTTACAACAATCATAGAGACAAATGTTTTTTAGGGCATGAGTGCATGACATAATGATTTGCTAGTATTTTGTAAAAAGGATTAAACATCCATTTAAGTTTACAATATTTTTATTTTTAAAGTTAAATACAAAAGAAATTAAAAATTAATAGAATAAAAAAATGATTTGTCAACATTTTTTTTATAAGCGATTTTACGTAAATTTTTTGTTACATAATGTTGCGTGTGGATCTAAGATAAAAAATAAATATTGTGCTGAAGGAGATGCCAAATCCATATAACTTAATAACTTAAAAAGCACATTATAAATATATTAAAAATAGTTGTCAAACGGATCACTACTATCTGTTTAAAAAAAAATAAATATTTTGTGGAATTATCGATTTTGTCCTGTATAGGAGAGCCGCCGTCAAGTCACGCATACCACGGCCAGTTCTATCACCGGTCCAACAACCCGGTCCCGATGCTTTTGGCAACAGTAGGCGTCCGATGACTGCCACTTACAGAGCCGATTCCCCGACTTCGCCGTCTGGAAATATCAACAACAAAATCGAACACACTTCCAACAGGTTGGTGTACGCCACTATTATACTCGCTTACTGTATAACGTACATTACTCATTCGGTGGATTTCGAATTTAGTAATGGAACGGGGAGGGATTATGTAATTCAATCGATTGTATAAACAGTAGCGTAGCGTAAAACTTAACGGCTTTAAGGCCTGTAGATGGTGGAGGTTTCCATTAAGCTTATGAAATAGTGATAATAAAAGCTAATAAAAATAAAATAATAGTAATATAATTGTTTTATTACATACAGTTATATTTTTTTAAACAATAGAAATGTAAACATAAGAGTTTTTCAAATATTTTTTTTTTAATTTAAAACCATATTATTATGTGCTTGAAATAATCAATAAGTATAAGTAATATAACACTCAATTATGTTAATATTTCTTTTAATTTTGATTCAAATTACAAAAGCACATACTTTTTTAATTTTAACCTTTTCCTGCCACCCGCAGTTAGTATTGCTCTTATTTTTAAATGGTATAAAAAACAATCTAAATAACTGAAAATTAAGTTCTTAAATATATTTGAAAGTTCCAAAAATCAGTATTAGAATAAATTGATTATATTAAAAAAGTAAAAATGATGATGACTGTTAAGCATTATACTTGCGGTAAATCCCTCTGTGTTTAATTATAAACTATTTAATACTTTAATTTTCAATTTAAAATCTAAAACCATGTAACAATAGTTTGAAAAAATGATAATATATAATGATAAAAAAAATCTGAAATTTTTTATTATCTAGGGTAAATATGGCTCACGAGATTTTTTTATGTAATTAGTTTTTAATTTTTTTTTGGATTTTGTAAATGAGTTGTGGCCATTTTGCTAAAAACGTCGAACATCCTATATAGTATTACGATTATGTACTTAAGTCTGTTTCTCTGGATTTTTAGGATTAGAAAACCGCCGCCAGCGTCCGCTTCGAAAGCTACACGACCCAGCAGCTTATCGCAAAGAACGACGACGACCTGCAGGGGAGAGCCCGTTCGTTACGTTCGGACCCTTTCACACCGATTATCAGCCGACAACGGACATTTGTCGTTCAACGAGGGAGAAAAATTGCAGCTCGTTTTGGACGTGGACGACAAGTGGATACTTTGTTGTCGCGGCGCGCGCAAAGGTCTCGTGCCTAGGTCATCCGTGCTAATGGTATCTAAGTGAGACCCACCGGTGGGTGTCGTATATAGTGGCGGCCACCTGGCACATTCCACAATGATATTATTATAATAATGGACTTAGATTATATTTGTGCGTTTAATTTATCGTCTATTAATATGTTTCTCTTTCGTTTTTAATGGTCTCATTTTCCTTGTATTATGTGTTTATTTCCGTGTATAGTGTACTGCTACGATAATAATATGTACATTTTTTTTGTTTAATATATTTTGTAAACTATTACATTAATATTGACCGATGGTTCGTAATGATGGGATAGTGTTGGATGTCGTATGTACATTATAATAATACGGGCGTCCAAGTGAGAAATCGTCAATTTGCCGCTTTGTTTTATTTTCTGATTTTCTTCGCTGGTTATTTTTTTGTTTTGTTTTTTTATTCTTAACAATTTACATCAGTTTTTTTCTTTTTACGTAATAAAATTTGCACTATTCAGAAAATAAAACAATTATCTGCAGTCGTACTTGTGGGGGAAGAACGTGTCTTTAGGTGCTTTTTATGGTATGGTGTCGTTGTGTTGTGTTGTGTTGTTCTTATGCACCGTGAAAAAATAATTTTATGTTCTTATAAATCACGCAAATATCTGTTATTCAAACACACAGACTTCTTGTAATTTAAATTACATTTCTTATACATACCTATAAGTAATAGGTATGTTTATAATAATATATATTCTAGTTACAAGAATTGATGCTTTATTTATAATGCTTACTATGAGAAAACTACTTTTTGTAATAAAAAAAAAGAGTTAAAGTATTACACTAATATTTAGATTATAGAACATATCTTTAATTTTTTTTTTTTTTTTACAACATTTTCCTACTATAATTTTGTTTTTGTTTTTTAAATTTTAGTTGACGTTGAGACCTTATTTGTTCGATTTCTACACAACGGATTTGAACAAAAAAGGTCTCGACATGTGTATTGAATGACCCATGTTCAATTTATTGGATGTCGTGTGTCATGCTATCCACTGTGCTCTTGTATACCCCCAAACCTAATGTTAGAAAATAATTTAGTCCTTCATCTAAGCATGAAAATAGCTTTGATTAATACTATGTTGCTTTAAATAAGTATAAGGTTTATGATATCATATTATGTTGTAAATTATCATTTTTTGTTTTTTTCATACTTCAGTTTATAGACTTTAATCATAGGTCCTTTAAGATTTTATTTTTGTTATTTTTTGTTTAATTAAACAAATAAGACTGCTTTTAAACACTTGGTATTTTTATTTTATTTGTATATTTTGTTATTATTTACTATATGATATTATTAACAGAGTACCAACATTGATTAAAATATATACTAAATATAATATTCTATATATTGTCCCAATTTTACAATGTTATTAAAGTATAACAATATAATATTTAATATTGTATTAAAACTAAATATTAATCACTTCATATGAGGTATAACATTATTATTACAGATCTGATGGTTGTACGTTTGTTAAAGTTATGTTAATTGTAATCAATAGTATGATCATGTGCCATGATTAAAAATAGTTTGAAACAAAAGCTTTTACTAAACATTTTATTATGTTTTTATGATGTACTGAGCAATATACGAATAAATACATGACATATATCTGTTGGAATAAAAAAAATATTGATAAATAAATAAGTATCATTTATAAACAACTAGGTGGTTAGAAACTCAAAGCGCTCTATCTCTGAAGCTTTGTATCTGTTTTAGTTTTGCTCGTATTTAAACACGTTTGAAATTCCAGTATCAGTTAAATACATTTTATTTTATAAATTATTTCTATATAAAAATGGCATTGTGTATTTGCGTCAGAAAGTTATAAACCATCTTTACACAAATACAGATCATATTTATCAATATATTATGCTATAATTACAATTATGTATGTGTGCAACCAGCCACTAGTAATGGAAAAGATGGAAAAACAGTTTTTAGACATCAGATAACAAATTCAGCATTACTACAAAGATACTAGTTACTTATAAATTGTTATTATCATTAGCTACAATATGTATATTTTTAAATGTATAGCTAATAAAACTTCTAAAATGTGAGTACATCAATGTTATTTAGTTAAATTAGGGAAAGAATGAGAAAAGTATTAACATTTCTCACCTAATCCAGGCATGCCTATATATCTTATAAAAAAATCATTATCTATTAGCAGTGGCGGGCCGAATGGCTCGATTTTGATGTAGTTGCATCAACTATTTTTGGATACTTTTTGTTGAGAATAGTATTTTGTATATTATATTTACACAATAAGATTCAAATTCAGATGGTTATAAGCTACTTTAAAAAATGTCAAATAAATACCAATTTAGTACGTAGAAAGTACAATATCATTTTTACCATAATATGTGTGGATTTGGGAACCGTGGGGAGGGACCAGTGGAGGATAGTCCCACGGATTTGTGAGGTTTGATAAAAGGGAGCGGTAGTGATAAATACTTAAATATGAAATTGTGCCACTGTATATAAGTGTTTAATGAACTGTTTTTTTTTACATGTAGACCAGTAACTTAACTTGTTAAACAATAAATGTTATGATTTCATCAATGCTTTGGAAATAACATGAGGAAAATTAAAAAAACTTTTTAAATAATTATTTTTGATTAATTTAAAATATATATATATATACAATATATATAACTATTTGTGATGATTATGCAAACATATAGAAGATATAGCCAACAAATGTCAAAAGATACTTGTAGAAATGTATTTAATATATGCATTATATACTTGTTCATAGCTATAGGTTAAAATTATCTCTGTGTGCAATCAACTTTGTATGTTCTCATAATAATTTAATAATAAATAACTTTTACAACCAGTTAGTTGCCAAATTAATTTCTTATAAATTATAATATAACTTTAGTTTGGAGTGAGAATTAAATTAATGTAGTCATTTGATTCAATTGTTATAGTATACTACAGACAGTAAATATGTATTGTAGCTACTACTGGTTTAAAAAATAATTATTAAATATCATGTAACAATTATTAGGTACATAAAAACTAAGATAAAAACAAAACGATAAAATGAGAATAAAGTAGTAAAATAATAAAATAATAAAATAATAAAGTGAGAATAATGTAGTAAAGCAAAATGTTTACATTGATACAATTTGTATTTTAATTTATAGATTAACTTTTAAGTAGTGGAAAGGATATACAGATAATACTGTTTATTATCTACAAATTACAAAGATAATTTTTTAATTACAATTCATAAGGATATAGAAATAGTAAAATCTATCACAATTAAATGTCGAGAACGTTAATAAGAAGAAAAGTTTACATTTTATATATATTGAAATATTAAATAAATGAACAGTGGTACAAAATTTGTTCAATACATAGTATGATTTTAAAGACAATGTTTTCTGTGTTTACTTAATAATAAAACTATTATCACTTTCAACCCATCCTTTGATTTTTCACTAAAACAAACCATTCAATTTAAGTTCATGGTCTATGACCTATGTTAAGTTCAGTTTATTAAAATAATAATAATTTATTTATAGTGGATACAAACAAATATGTTTCTGACATGTAAATGTATTACTGGACTGTTCACACGTATATGTGTCACTGTATTAGCATGTTGAAAGTGTAAAGTAATTCATTGCATTCTAGCCAATCTTGTTTGAAATTTGTTACACAAGAGGATAACACCATGTTGTAATTTGTGATCAATTCCTTTTATCAAGCAAAAGCTCTACTTTAGAAGGAATTAATTTATTGATGTAGAAGACAGATGTTCTTCTAATTAAAATAAGTTCCAATAGTTGATTGTTACTTAATAATAAAAAAATGTAATAATTTCAATTCAAATATTACTAATTCTAAAAATAAGCTGACATATAAGACAATTGAATAAACAAGGACAACTCATTAAGAGATAATTATTTAGTATATTGTACACATTTAAAAAATATTCTATTTCAAAATATAAATTAAACAAGAAGAAATATTATAAACAGTAATAACGTTATATTAACTGTATGATATTATAATTTATTGTTTGTACATGTATTTAACACAAAAACATAATATTATGGATCACCAGAAGACTTAAAAGGTAGCAGGAATATTTTGCTTTTCAAATTCAGCTCTGTAAAATACAATAAAAATGTGTTAAAAGTAATCAACAATAAAACAAAAGCGTTTATAATCAAATCTTTAAAAATAGAAAAGGTATAAAAAACTATTAAAAATTGTCAGATTTAAAGTTTTTTTAATATTAAGCATATAGTATAAACTGAAAATAGATTTTTATTCTTAAAAATTATTAGTATTCAATATATTATTAAGCAATATAATAAATTTTGTCAGAACACTATTCTTAATTATTAAGTTAATATAAGGGATTATTATAATATTAACTATTATACTACAAGCACGGCACTAAATTTTTTTTTTCAGGGGGGGGGGACAGAGCGGGGCAAATATTTTTTTTACATGAGTTAAGATTTTTTTCTTATTTTACAAATTTCAAAACATATTTTATTAAAATTGTTGTAGATTTTTCCCTTATTAGATAATACTAGTAGGTTAACCCACCGTAAAAAGATTAAAAATGTTATTAGTTCAAACTCCATTAACTAAATTATTATAATCTATACTAAATTCAATTTATTTAGTAGTGACAAATATATTAAATAAACTAAATATTGATATTTTACACAATATCTGTTTATGCACCAAACAGTAAATGATTGAAAATCTTAAAACGTTAAAATAGTTAACAAAAATGTATAAAATTGCATCAATACCAATAGAAATAATATTTTTTTAAATAAAAATTTGCGATTACCTACCTAATAATATTATTTAAATAGAAAATTTCAAGTTTTTAGTTCAATACATTTTTAAATTGGTATTTGCATAGTATATTATGTATTAAAGAATCTACTTTATATTTTTTGTTGAATTTTAGAGGTTAAAAAGTTCATGGATATATATTAAAATGTAGATACTTAAAGAAATCCTTTCTTTTTATTAATTATTAAGCAACTTTTTAAACAATATTAGTGTATTAATTAAACATATAAAAATAATAAGTAAACTAAAAATATTTTTACTTACATTAAATTAAGTTAATAATATTCTTCGATTTTTGTGTATAAAATATTAATATTATTAAATCGGTTTTTATAACAGCAAAAACTTAAAACACCTATCTTTGAAAATACGAAAATATTTACATAATATTACTAATTTAAAAAAAGTATATTTCATAAATTCTCTGATATAGCTCTTTTAAAAATAATGTTTTATGACTTTATTATATCATACATATTTTTAGTAGGGGGGCTGGCAAAGGGGCTGAATTGTTTTCTGGGGAAGGGGGGAGGGCTAGAGCCTCACCTTGGCGCGTGCTTGTTATACTATATATTTACTATCCTAAAATAGTTGGATCCTGGGCATTTAATAAATCATAAATTTTTAATTCAATCTAATATTAATTTAAAACAAAATGTTGTATGTATACTAAAATTGTCAGTCAAATTTACCTTAATTGAACACTGAAATCATCCTCGACATTATCATCGTCCCAATTATCTTCCCAAACATTAGCCTCTTTATCTTCTTCATCTTGACTGGTCCATTCTTGAAATAAAAAATAATGATAAATATTTACTAGCATTTATATTAACATAAATTCACTACCAAAAGTAATGAATCGTTTACCTTCCACTGGGAACTCTTCGAATTCATCGTCTTCTTCCAACAGACCTATGTCCAAAGTATTCTTTTGTTTATCTCCGTCAGATTTGGGTTCAGTAGATTTACCCATGGTTTATGAATAATGGATTAACTGAAAATTAAAACTTATATCAATATTTTCACTTCTTCAGAGCAATTTGCAAAATTCACAGATGACTAATGAGATAACTGACTGATGTTCTAAGTTTGTTTTTGTTTTACACTGGAATGAAATTTAACAGTCATGCCTCTAACCTCAAAATACAATATTTTCATTGGTGTCCAAAATATTTGTTGTTAATATCACTGATAATAATAATATTATCAGTGTTCGGACAATTAACAAGTTGTAACGCTCCAACACAAAGTGGTCATAATCGGAAAGTTTTTGCCTCCTAAACGGTCATAATATCATAGGATAATATAGACTGTATGGGACATATCAAATTGGTGGTGAGGAGTAAAGTTGTCTCACCATATTATCATTTAAGGCTGTGGATTTTACAAGATAACAGCGGCAGCACGGCGCATGTAGAGCCATTATTTATGACTTCGGTATTCAACCATTCGATGCTTAGTCATGGCAGGAAAACTACAATTAATGTTTTTTACCCATGATATTTTTTTATCTTAAACTATAATCAATAATAAATCCCAAGAAAAACTGTATAATACATAATAATAAAAAATTAAAAACACAAATAATAATATTTATATTAAAGTGAACACTAAGTTCAAAATGTTTTTTCTTTCTCCTCGTTAATCGAACATGTAACTTATTGTAAATAGCAATTTGATATCGTGACGATGAAGTCCAGCGAAGTAGACGTGGTCAAGATGATAGATGCCAACAAAATGCGGAAGGAGAAAAAGTTGTCGGTAAGTTCTATCAATAGTAGTCCGGCATCCGATTTAAAACCTCGAGTGGTGACTGTCAAGCAACATGATTCAAAAAAGTTGTACACGCCAACTGCTAAAAAAGAAAATACAAAAAAAATTGTTCAAGATGCAACAAAGGAGATTCAAAACTGCAATGATAGTTCTGAATGGCGTCTAGATTTGAGTAAATCAGGATTGACTAAAGTACCAATAACTATTAGAGATGCTACACAATTGACTGAATTGTATTTGTATGGTAATAAATTGATAACTTTACCATCAGAAATTGGATGTCTGACCAACTTACAGACTTTAGCACTCAGTGAAAACTCTCTGACCTGCCTACCGGATTCACTAGCTAATCTTACTAGTCTTAAAGTCTTAGACCTAAGGCATAACAAACTTACTGAAGTACCAGAAGTTGTCTATAAGCTAGATACATTAACTACATTGTTTTTGCGCTTCAATCGTATACGTACAGTGAGTGATGACATTAGTAAATTAGTCAATCTAGTCATGCTCAGTTTACGAGAAAATAAAATTAAAGAACTCTCATCTGGTATCGGTAAACTAGAAAGATTAATTACATTTGATGTGTCACATAATCATTTGGAACATTTACCAGAAAAGATAGGAAATTGTATACAATTGTCTACACTAGACCTTCAACATAATGAACTTGTCGACATTCCTGAAACAATTGGTAATCTTAAAAATCTGACACGATTAGGGTTACGATACAACAGATTGAAAATTTTACCAAATTCATTGAGTAATTGTAATCGAATGGATGAATTCAATGTAGAAGGTAACATGCTTAGTTGTTTGCCGGATGGTCTTCTTGTTAACTTGAAAGAAATGAACAGTATAACACTAGCTAGAAATAGTTTCACAGCATATCCTACTGGAGGGCCTGCACAGTTTATTTCTGTAGATTCAATTAATTTTGAACATAACAAAATTGATAAAATACCCTATGGAATATTTTCCAAAGCTAATTACCTTACAAAATTAAATATGAAAGATAATGCCTTGACATCATTACCATTAGATGTTGGTTCTTGGACCAATATGGTTGAGTTAAATGTGGCAACAAACATGATTACCAAATTGCCTGATGATATACAATATCTTCAATCTTTGGAAGTGTTGGTCTTATCCAACAATCTATTGAAAAGACTGCCGGCTACCATAGGAAATCTTCAAAAACTTAGAGTGCTTGATATTGAAGAAAACAAACTAGAAACATTACCTCAAGAAATTGGTTATTTGCGAGAACTGCAAAAATTAATTTTACAGTCAAACCAATTGCTATCTCTACCTCGAGCAATCGGTCATCTCACAAATCTGGCATACCTCAGTGTCGGTGAAAACAAGCTTAGTACATTACCTGAAGAAATTGGTACACTCGAAAATTTGGAAGCACTTTACATTAACGATAACCAAAGTCTTCATCATTTGCCATTCGAACTTGCCTTGTGTTCCAAGTTGCAGTTGTTGGGAATTGAAAATTGTCCGTTGAGTCAACTTGGAGATGCAGTTAAAGGTGGTCCATCTTTAGTAATGACTTATCTCAAGGTAAATGGCCCATACCGTACTCTGTGAAATTTTTTTAATTGGTGTGGTATTTCCATTTGATATCTCTAACACAATATTGCTGTGAGTCTAATAAAAGTTTGTTAATATTTGTTATTGTATTTAAAAGATTTATTTTAACACAAATATTGAAACTTTATTTTAATAGATCACGAGTAGTATTGCGTATTATTCCCTGACTTCCATTATGAAACCATGTAAGAAAAAATGTGTTTTTAATTCTTGGGATTTTTAGTAGGAAAAATATTATATTCTTATAAGTTGCATCAAACATGCGTAAGTATTTGAAAACAGAGTTGTTAACAATTTCTTTTTAAAGAAATTATCTTAGGATGAGAGTTTATAAATAGTTGATATGTTTTATTAAATAATGTTTAAAGAAATATTTATTGAATAATACATAATATTTAGGTATCTATTTTATCTTTATACAATATTATTTCAACTTAAATTGAAGTATGTATTAAATATTAAGTTAAAATTTTTATTCATTAATGAAAAATGTATGGACTTGACCGATTATTTTCAGTATTTTATTAATTAAATTGAATAACTTTATATAAGTATTTAATAAATCGCAGTTTTGGGTGTACAGTTATATATAACTACCTATTCTATATGTTGTCACAATTTATTTAGAGTTAAACACATTTATCAAAAGATAAATACTTAGATAATATAACACTATGCTTTAATTAATTATTATTATTATTGTTATACTTTAAATTTTAAATAATAAATTGTCATTATATTTACATAGGTTTATACTTAATAACATAAAAAAAATATTCTATAATAATTGTTAAGTTTTAGTATTTAAGATGATAGTATTGATTCCATGATATTTCATTATAAACTCTCATCAGATTATTCTGAAATTTGACATCTATTATGTTTTAGATAACGGGTATTCTATATTACCATAAACTTTAAAGGTATTGAAATTATTCAATACAAAATAAACTTTATAATAATAACCATTACTTTATTCAGCATGTCAACTGGAAATTTTACCACAGTCCCTTAATTGTATTTAAGTCATGAACATCGAAGTTTGTTAAATGCAAATTCATTAATTTGTTTTTATTTATTTATAATAGGCAAATGTATAGTGTATTATTTAATATTTGTTTTAATTGAAAATTATAAATGTATATTATATTTATGTATGTATAATATATATATATATATATTATGCATGTATATATTATATATATATTTAATTATTTCAACTGTTGATAAAAAATAACGTAATATTATTTTTGTGTGATAATTATTATATTATGATTACAGATTTATGACATAATATCTATTGGTTATTGATTAACTTACATAGTATTACCTATAGTGTAATCATAATAAAATGCGAGTATGTTGTATTAGAAATATTTAAGTTCTTAGAATGGTACTTGTATCAAAATATACCTTTTGAGCTTGTACTATTTATAAAATTGTTTTTGTCATTATTTGTGCAATATAATGAATTTTATTTTAAACTCTCTTTTGTTTTTTATTCTATTTACCTAACTATTTATTTTTCTAATTATAATAGTAAAAATAATAGAAAATTTCGTTATCACGAGTTATAAAATAGTATCTATAAAGTTTGTTTATTTATTTTACTCAAATAAAAAAATTCAATGCGGCACGTATGAGCATGTTTTTCATTTTTGACCCGAAAAATAATTCATCTTATTGTGTGTCAATTTAGTAACACAAATACACAATATTGTGTTATTATTCTATAATCTAGATTATTGTAGAAATTAAGATTGTACGATTAATTTTCTCGTTGATAATCATGTACAGCAATTCTATTGTATGTATTTGCAGATTGACACATAGTTTTTGATTAAAACAACTATGATCATATGTTTTCAGTCTAAATCCTACAAGACTTTTCCGATTGGAAGAAAAGTTGTAACTTAATGATTAATTTTCATTGATTAATGCATAAAATATATTATGAATATAATCAATTATTAAATATATTTTTTATATAATATATTAGTATATACATAATTTTTTGTGTAATTTGTAAAGTTTAGTATAAGTACGTGTACATTGTACATGTATTAATATCTTTATTGATATTGTTAATTTATATAGGTATAATTATTGTTATAATTTTGTATCTTGAAACAGCGTGTGAAAATCTCACATCATCACCATCTTTAAACTCCGAATAACAACCATCATCTTTAGGTACCCGCGATTACTCAATTTAAATTATTATAATTAGCTAAATTACCAACCTCCCATTAATTTTTTTTAACGGGCGACGACCAGCTATCCTTGGCTTGTTTGCTCCACTTTATTTTCCTTTTTTCCACGAAAAACATCATACACATCAAAACATCTTTTGTAGTTAATCAAATTTTAATAACCATTACCGTGGAGTACCTCATCACCCCAACTGAAGACCGAAGAACGATGATGCGAAGGACCAATAAACATTCGACAGTTAAATGACACTAAAATTAGAACTTAAAACATTTTATAAAAAATTGTGCGAATGTATTTTACATATTATGAAAATGCTGCAGCCTAGAAAGTTAACCAAGAATTAAGAAGAAACTTGTATTAAATAAAATATTGTATTCAAATTAAGAATTATATGAATTTTTAACTGCAAAATAATTTGAAATATTTGAGATTTTAACGAATTGCATATACGTTTTAACTTACAATACGTGTATAAATAAATATGATCATATGTTTTCGATATTATTTAATTACTGTTAAAACAACTTATGCGGATTTAATTTTCAAAATTTTGATGATCGAATGATTTATAAACACACTTATCTTTGTTATTAGTAAATTCATTACATTCATTGCTTTGCTCAGAATTCAATAAATAATTTATTTAATATGTAATATAATTAAATACAGTATAATACTTAGGTTGAAACGAAACTGTCATAATCTTATGTTGAATCTTTAATAATCCAATAAAATCTAAGCAATAACCCCAAGACGTATCTTTGTATAAACTAATGGAATATATAAATGTTATATGTTTTAAACATACGACTTTAGGATGATTTCGGTTTAAAAGAATAAATCGCATCAAAATGTTTTGACTAACTACTAGGGTTTAGGATATTTATGTCAATACGGAAAATATTTTGGACGTATTGTATAATAATTATACAACTAAGATATTATTATATCTATTAGTTTATTTATTTATTTTATTCAGAGCTTTATTATTCGGGTTTAGGGTCACCCTGAATATTTAATAGAATTATATACAGGCACACACAGAAAAATATTTGGTTTTGAGGGTTAATTTTGGGAGTTTTATTGTTTGTATTAGTCGGTTAGGACTGGCTTGTGGCAGTGAGATTTTTTTAAAAATTAATTCGAGTTTTGGGTTGACGTGGGTTTGGGACGAAAAATACAAAAAGCATTCCGTTGCATGTATAATATACGATAAAAAATAATATGTGTAATAATAAATGATAATTATCTACTGAATTTATAATTACATAGATTATAGATTATCTGCTTTAGCTAATAAACTAATTAAACACATATTCTATTTCTATACAAAGTTTGAAGTCACAAAAATATGGAACAGTGAATTATTTTTAAACACAAATATTGATGATAAGTGATAACATTGATAAATCATTGAATGCTACTGTCGCGGGCTAACATATTTGATTTTTGTTTCTAACTATTTATAACAAAATGATAATTTTATTTTTTCCAAAAATTGCTTATTGTTGACGACCTTTTTATGATAATATTGATATTTACAGCTATCATTATGGCTTTATAAAAATATACTATTGTTATTGACGGTACAAACTTATTATAAAATATATTTTATTTTTAAAATGAAAAATCTATACATGTTTTATTTATAATAATTATATTATTGAATATTTAAATATGATAATTATATCCTAAAATATCCTTTTGAAATGCTTAGGTGTATTTTGCGTGAGTAGAGTATTTTTTTTGAAAATTTGAAATATCACTAATTTTTATTTTAATTGATTATAAATATATACCTACACGTTATTTATAACTAATGCTGTTAACATTGTCCTTATTTATTTATTTTTTTAATATTAATTTCTACTTGAAATTTGTATTCAATTTAACGCACAAAATTGTATGAAAGATTTTTAAACTAGAGTATTCAAATTTTAAATGTAAGAAGTTTTAAACTCTAATTCTTGGTTTATATAAATTTTTCAATTTTAAAACAATATTTCACTGTTGTTTGTTTATGTACAGATTAGTATGCATAAAATCTAAATAAAAATGTACTGATGTATTTTTAACAAAAACAAAAACTAAATTATAAAAACAAAACATGAATGAATCACATAAATTTAAATAATTTTTTTTTATCCATGATACGATCGGGTCATATAATTGGATAGTTTTAGGTCACTTTGTTTAAAACTTTAAAATACAGAACGAAGAAGTTTTATACATAATTTTATGACAAAGATAAGATTGTAAAACCAGAAATGTTCATACAGTCGATAACAAATATTGATTGTAATGTAGAATGCTGAAAAATTATAATCTAGGATAATTATTTATTTAAGTAAAAATTGGGCCTAACAAGAAATAATTATTAAAAAGTATATTTTAAATAAAATATAATGACGTGTTGCAAGTAAAACAGTAGGTTTGTTGCTCATGTTTAGCTAATTATAAATTATAAACAAACATATTTAACGGTTCTTTCAAAATATAGAGTTAACTTTTAGAGGTTTTTTTTTAAATATACCGTAAAAAGTAGCAATTGGTTACCAATTATAAATAATAAGCAGAAATATAAAATACATAATTAATTACAATTGTAATTAATATTTTTTTTATTTATTTTTTTTTATTCGTATAAAATGTGTACATTATTATTGTTCATTTTATTACTACAAATTTAAATTCTAAGCTGAATACCATTATATAAATGGCATTAGGAATACACTAGATGTCTAAAAAAAAGTATACGTTAAACCTACAATACATTTATCAGATTTCATATTTTTGTATTGTGTTGCAAATCTTTTGTCAGAGATATAGTTGTCAGATTGTTACAACTGAATTTACAGAGGTTGTGTGCACTTAGATACACAAATATATGAATATGTATATTTATGTATAGTTATTTAATGTCATATAATACAAATTATACCTCGTTTATAATATTTTATATTCTTGTATGTTTTTTACAATTTTAAACATAACAATCTCGTTTATTAGATTTGATCAGATATTAAATATGAAATTCAATTAGTGTATC